AAAAAAACGTTAGATAAAAATGTTTTTTTATCAAAAAGTGTTTATTCATATTTAATATAAAAACTTTTTGGCCCAATGTGAAACCATTTAACGTATTTTGCATTGGCGTTTGCAGTAAAGTATAATAGTACATAATTGTACGTTATTACCTATAATTCCTTGGTATGTTAATTAAACGACTATTACTATTTTATCAGACGTTCGCTGGTATCGAGAAAACCAAACATTTTGCCGAATTCCAGCGTGTCTAGCTCATCTGAACAGTTTCATGTTTTGAAGAAGAAGAAGAGGAAGAAGAAGAAGAAGAGAAAGAAGAAGAAGAAGAAGAAAACACAGGTTTGCAAAATTGAACTTTATTAAATATTGTTAATTAAACCCGAACTCGTAGTTTGGTTGTGGTACTCGTGCGATACAATTCGCTCAATGAAAAAGTATGAGACAGATGACTTTTCGACCCAGGAGGAGAAAATTGAATTCCGGGTATAAAAATATACCTGCGTATTTTATAATTTGCACAATATATTGAGTGGATGATTTAATATTTGTTACATCATGAAATAATATTTCTTCTCTCTTAAAATGAATTAGTCAAAAATTAATAATTATCATAGCGAAAAACCAGTCACTAATAACTGTAATCACCATCAATTTGTATCCAGGACATGTAACAGTCAATTCCTATGTATGTCTGCTGAATCCGAAACTAACGTCAAAACTTACAAAAGTGTAGCAGTTTTTGAAATATAGTCAATTCCATATAAAGATGTAAAAAACGGTTTTTTTTTAAGATGTGAAAAAAACATGAAAAAAACTAGAAAAAACCGTTTTTTTTGTTTTTTTTTTCAAAATGAAATTTTGAGTAAAATGTAGAATATATTACATTTTTCATTATTGAAAATTTTGACCAAGACTAAAAAATCTGATTTCTTATTATTTGGTAGTTTTCACATTAAAAACCAATAGCAATGTAAAACTTCTACACAAAAACAAAAATTAAAGGATACAATTTTTTTTTGCGATTTTTCGTATAGCTGTATATTTATTAAAAATGGTCGTCTTGGAGCCGTAAAAAAAGAAATTTGAAGCTTGAAGTTTATAGTTTTGATGTTTTTAGATAAAAAACGTGCTACGCTCAATTCTAACGAATACCGTAATAAAAAAAATTGGCCCTCGGAATGTTCTGACCACCAATGAAGAAACTTTCTACAAGAATTTGCTATTGTTTTTTGATAAATTTGAAAAATCATGAAAAAAGTGCTTTTGGTAGTTTTTTGAAAAATCAAGCGCTAAATCAAAAATATTATATTTAGTTACTTTTTTATGACCAAATCAAAACAAGCGCGGCCCTTATTGGTCAAATCGGTGGTTGTGGCGAGTGAATAACGCGAGACTGTATTTACATTTAATAATTGTCATTTAGTGGCTAATTTTAGTCCATGGAAACATAAAAAATTATACAAATGGGACTAATCTTAAAAACAAACCTAAAATGTGAAAAAAAACCATTTGAAAAAAAAACAATGAAAAAAAACCTGAAAAAAAAACAAAAAAAAAACGGACCGCATCTCTGATTCCATATTATATGTAAAATTGACAATATCTTAAAAACTGTTCTGCTTTTTCGCTATGACAATGGGTCATTCTTGACTATTTCATTTGAAGACAGTACTTAAAATTTGTTTTAATCTAAAAGTACTTGAAAATCCTTTCTATATTTTTCCAATATATGTCCACCTTCCCGGGAAATCGTATGATTGAAATGATGAATGCAATTTTTATCAAAACCAAACTAACAAATTTAAACTTTTGATTGACAGAATATTGAACAAATTCACTTTCAGATGAAGTTTTTTTGAGATTGGTAATAGTATTAAAAAAAATCTGTATTGTTCTCAAAAACCTGATAACATGGAGAGGTCAAGTTTGCATTTAGCACGTTAAAAACCTTTCTGTTTTTAGAAGACCTGTGATATATCATATATATTGGAGCCGTAACAGAAAAAGTCTAACTTTACTGTGAAATGTTTATTATTAATTAAAATATTTTATCGAGTGCTCATTAAGACAAGGCAATTTGATTTTTTTGGTTAGAGGTTAATTCCTCTTAAATCCTAAAAGCAATTTCCTTAATCAAAGCGAAAAACATTCGTGTTTCCAATCATCGCTAATTTGCCACGAGACCTCGCCAACAAATACTTATGCACACAGCTAAAAACGTCGTGTCAGAACATTTAGGAACCGTTAGCATTCAATATTATCAAATAATTAATCAGCAGAGCCAATAAATTATTCAATCACAGTAAGCCATATCTCTGACCGCTCGATCTTCCTCTGAGACAGTTTGTAAAAATCGAATAATTGGTCTTTGGAGTTGAGCCTTAACATTGAGGGCCGTAAAAACAAATTTGCAGAAATCGTTTCCGATTTGATTATTGATAGAACTGCATGATAACTAAACATGTAGATTTGTTACGAATTAAAAAAATCAATTAAATATCTGCAGAAATGGGTATGTGCAATTATGTAATGTCATTAATCTAATAATTACACTTTGTGAGGCCACTGCCATAAATTTCATTAGTTTAAAGTTAGCATCCATAGAAAGTTTTGCATAACTGCTTCAAATAACCTTGATAAAACATACGTCTCTTTTAATTATTTTAGTCCACTTAAATCATTACAAAAGATTTTATGTATCATTACGTAGTGTTGCTTGTGTTTTGGTTTTGAAGGAAATAATTAAGTGTGCCTTAAGGTTCTAAATGGAAACCACATTAACATGAAGATGTCATAAGTGATGTGTACAAATTACCTTTAAAATTAAACGTTGGACAACTAAAAACACTAACTTACCTTCAAATTTTGCCAATAAATGAATAATGCCTGAACTTTAGTGCATTATTCATTTGTTTCCAAAATTTGAAGGTAAGTTAGTGTTTTTTGTTATACCTACGCTTTTCTAACGTTTCATTTTATAAGTAATGTATTCTTATTTTTATCTACTCCTATTGCATAATTTTGTTTTTTTTCTGTAAATATTGATAAACTTTATAAATTCCCTGCCTAACAACGTGAATAATAAACTCAATATTCACGTTGTTAGGCATCAGTGATTGGCCGATTTCAATATTCACTGTAATTGAACCAATCAGGTTTTAAATTGGAAGAAGGCGACTATAGTTACATTTAAAATTGGTAAAAAGTAAGGTTAACCATTTGACAGATGTCAGATTTTATTTATTTAATTTTTAAAATCATTTAATTATTTACTTATTGGAGTAGATAATTATTATTACTATTATTATTACTCGAGACTATGCGCATTATTCACTCGGATGATTTGAGTCTCTCGTCTGACGACTCGAGATGCAAACCTCATCCTCATCCTGCATTATCTCTCGTAAAATAATATACTATTGAAGTTTGAATCCACCAGGAATCTAATAAAGATAATTGACTAAAATATAATTATTTCGTGAAAATATGATCATTCTGTAAATCGCTTTCTTAGAACAGAATAATAAAAATGGTTACCCAAAGATTACAATTTTTAAGAAAATAATGCGGTATTTATCAATATGTTTTAAGATGTTAACACAAAAGAACCACAATATTGAATAAATCCCTGTGTATTTAAGCCAAAACCTGCAAGTCAGCAAGTCATGTCCTCCATAGATAAAACACACATACCTATATGTAGGTTTTGGCTTAAATGCACGGGGATTTATTCAATATTAGGATGCTTTTGTGTTAAAGTCTTAAAACATATTGACAAATACTTACCGAATTATTAAAAAAAAAATCTTTGGGAGGAGGATATATCATTTTTATTTATTGACATATACGAGGTGTGTTCGTTTTTTGAAACAAATATTTATTTATTCGTCTACATTAATGTTATCGCCTTTAAAATAGTCCCCATTGGATATTATACACATACAGCTCTTCTTCCAATACTCGAAACACTTCTAAAACTCGATCTTTGGGATAGCCTTTAGTTCTTTCAGCGATGCGCTTTTAATGTCATCTATCCTTGCAAAAGGACGGCCCTTTAAGGTTCTTTTTATTTTTGGGAATAGGAAAAAGTCAGACAGAGGCATGTCTGGCGAATATGGAGGCTGGGGCATCATTACAGTATTGTTTTTGGCCAAAAATGTTGTTCAAAATTTAACAATTTTAGAAAAAATTTTGCTGCCACACGTTTCATACCCAAAACATTCGAAAAAATTTCATGGGATGAGCCAATCGATATATCAACATCATCAGCGACTTCTCTGATGGTTTATAACCATGTCTTCCACTTTTTCCATGTTTTTTATCGGTTGTTAATGCGCTTGTGCGTTCGGGGCGTTCGTCATCTTCAACGTCTTCACGGCCATCTTGGAAACTCTTAAACCACTTGTAAACTCTTGTTTTACTTATAGCAGACTCACTATAGGCCTTTGTTAACATTTCACAGAATTTATTTCATTTTTTAAGCAAAATATCCAATACAAATTCTTTGCTCCATTTCTTTTAACGAACGAAAAATCGCCGAGCTCATAAAACTCGTCTAACCTTAGCGGCTGCCACAGACAAAGTAAACAATGAAAACAACTAAAGTTTTTATCATACTTCGGGGGCCTGTATACCAACATAATAAAGAAAATTTTATGACAACCGGACCCTCTGAACCCGCGAAATTTAACAATTCCCGTTATTTTCTGAACACACCTCGTATTCAGAGGAGGATTCTAGGCCATGGCCTACGGAGGCAAATTTTCGAAGGCGGAAATTTCTTTGAATGTAAGAATTAGCAGTTTTTTGTATTTTGTATAGACAAATCATGAAATAATCTCAAAGAAATTTGCTTCAAACCCTTCATTCATTTGGACATATCCAAAGTCCCCATTCCATTCAGAAAATGGCAGATTCCCTTGGGGCAAAGGTTTATTTTTTTCAAAGCCTAGATATAGTGTACTACCTTGTTGTTAAATTCAATATATTAGATTTATATTTACCTGTTGTGCATAGGCGGAATGCTGTCTTTTCATATAGGGCCTGGTGTAATGTACTACCTTCTCCTTTGGATAGTTGGTGTGGTCGGTCCATGACTTGGATCTAATAATAATAGTAATCATAATTAATTTGTATTTAAAAAAATACTTTTTTTAAACATTCAATTTTCTTAGTTTCCTTAGTACCGATTGCGGCAAAGGCCACGTCGTTTGACGGTGTGGATCACCTGATGTTCTTACATCTCGCCTCTGTTTACTTAACAACCGAGCATATAAGCTCAGGTAGTCCTTTGTTTTGATTGTGTTCCACTGTCTGTCGGTATTTGAAGTTGGTGGAACGCATTCAAAAGAAAAAACTTTGGCGTAGGTTCAATTTTTTCTTACTTTTTTTAAACCTACCTGTGGGAGCCGCCACCGGGCGGTTGTCGGAGAGCGGCAGGGGTGTCGGCGGCTGCGGGGACGGGCCACGACGGGAACTTCTCGTGCCCGGCGCCGTATTTGATCGATTTGAGGCTGCTGGAGTCGCGTACTGGAGGAGCAGGCGGTGAATCCGCATTTCTTGTCACCGATGACGAGGTGGAAGATGTGGTGGAGTAGTGAGGACCTGCTTGATTCTGAACAAAAAAGTAAATGAGAAAAACTGCCCCAAAAATAATATATGAATGTGTACAGGGCCGTATCCAGTGTTTATAGCCTGGGCACCAAATTAATTAAATGCAAAATAATCAAGTTGGGAGAATTTGTTTTTTTTTTCTGGAAAACTACAAAAATTTCATGAATAATTTTAACCCTGGAACTGCACTAAAAAATTCAGAGCGTCATTTGGTGTATTTAGTGAAACCACGTGAAATAATATTTACATAAATACGAGAAAGGGTAAGTCAGACCCAAGTGTGATGTTTATGTAATTATTTTGTTTCAACTTATGATTTATGCTTAGTATAATGGCTTCATCTAGCAGAGTAAATCGTCGACCGTTGACTGAATTAGAAATAGAAGCTGCAAATATAAATGAAAACGACATGGTTAAAGACGATTCTGATGAAGATTATGTTGAAGAGCATCTCTCAAATAGCGAAAGTGAACAAAGTGAAAATGAAGACGAGGTAGTGGACGAACCAGTAATAAATATTTCTAGTTTACTGGAAAAAATGGTCATCGTATGTTCTGCTGGTCGCAGGCCATATTGCCTGGAGCATAGAGCAAGGCTGTGTTATGTAAAGATCAAACTATAAGAAACTGAACTAAACTGAATAAGAAAATCAACTCAAACTTATATTGAAAAAATGTGTTTTTATTTTGTTATTATTAGCATAAAGTTTTATTTACTGTTGACTGAATTTTATGTTTATTGTTGGGAAATATTTCTGTTTTTATAAAAAAATATATGTTTTTTTTTCAGGGCATTCTGCTAAGATTAGATTTTAAGCAAACCATAAAATTTTAATTTTTTCTGTTTTTTTTGTTCAAAAAGTCATTTTGGTTTCTGAGTGTGAAGTTCATGTCGCAAAAATTAAGTGTCATGTTCCTTGAATAGTAAATTTGAAATTTTTTTATAAAAAATAATACAAAATCTTAAAAAAAATTTAATATTAAAATTTAAAAATATTTTTTAATTATTTTCTTTCTTTAAAATTATATAATTTAAAAATAAGGATAATATTCTAAATAATTTTTTACTTTCCAACAAAATATAAAAAAATATTATAAAACAACATTTTTTATACTACAAATCCGAAACACGACAAAAATAAAAATTTACAATTTCTTAACTAATTATAACAAACATATGATCAAGGGTAGATGCGTTGTATATTTTGTTTCCATAACAACCGTTTTAAGATGTTTTATCATTTCATCAGCATTGCTGAGTTTTTAAACTTAAATGCCTGATACTCGAAAACTAGATACATGTCGAAAAAAATTGTTGTATCTAAAAATTGTACAGGGTGTATTCTAAAAATTACATCATACAAAAAATTATACACTTTTTTATAGTGTTTTAGGTTGTTTAGATGTTTTTGTTATTTCTACAATTTTATTAAAATATAAAAATAAATAGTAGGAGAAACTTCATATTATATCCGACCATATATTTCAGTTTCTGTGCGAGAAAATTTTGTCACATCAGTTTTATGTTAGGTTCAACCGACATGATGACATTTTAGTACGGAGGTTTATAATAATTTGGGGTTTTCGCAACGCGGGCGCCATCTGCTGGCGCTCTATATATAGCATTATTGAACTACAAGGTTTGTCAACAATATATTTAAAGCATACGAACTGCACATCATTTTTAAATTTATTTATAAGGGTGAATATATTGAGATGTCCCCCAAGTGAAAATGAGTATTTTTTATTTTTGGTTGTTTCACTGTTAGTCTAGAATAGGGTTTTTGGGTTCTGCACTAATGCAAGAATTTTAAGAAATCATACATTTTGAATATTAGAGCTTCACGGAAGATAGCTTCACGGAGGTTAGGATTTTGTATGTTTTTTTAAACATTCCTTTGTATATTTGAAATAAGTTTTTGTATCTTTCGACACCTTAATATTTTTCATCTACGCCAGTGAGATAAGAACTTCTTATCCCACTCATTTTGAGTGAGATAAGAAGTTCATTAACGCACGCGTTTTTCTCTGTTTTTAACCAATCAAATACAAAAGTCAAAATGTCAAAATAACCCTAAATGAAGTCTTAAACAAAAATAATAACCGTTTATTTTTTCATTTAGAGGCGTAGATAAAAATTTCTACAATATACGTGTGATAACGCTTTATTAACGTACTTTTGCGATTGCCCAACTCGTGCTACGCACTCGTTGGGCAAATTTCGCATGCGTACGTTAATAAAGCTCTTATCCCACTTATATCGTAAATAACTATTAAAAATACAATTGTGCATACATAAATTATTTATATAAAAAATCTACACTTTAAGGTGGATAGGTTTTTAAATAGCAAATTAATGAACTTAAACTTTTGAATTATAAAACAGCAACACTTTCATCTGCATATACATAAATTCTAACTGACCTTCAGGAATCACATGCATCTATAATGTCGTAAACAGAGGTTTTTGCTTATTTAAAATGATTAAAGCGCCATCCTTTGCATAAAATTTAAAGCAAAAACAGATTCACGGAGGATAGAATCAATTTTTGTAACACCTACATAAATGGTTATAAAAATTATTTCTTTTAATTTTTAATAATATTTTATATTTGATTCGATTGCTTTGGATGTGTTTAATTTACTTAGTGAACTGATATTTTTAGTATGATTTTACTACCTAAGATATTTGAAAACATATAGGTTAACCTAGAAAGAGTAATCGTCACGGAGGATAGCTTTTAGACTTAAAACATTTAAAAAATAATTAATTGCGGTTAAAAATCTGGAACCTGAGCTTATTGGTGCAGAATTAACTAATATAATTTATATTTAAGTTTGGACATTTTTAAGAAATCTAACAAAAAATAATAGTTGTAGAAACATAACCTTAAAATCGAACATTTTTATATTTGACCCCCCTGAAATAGAAAATGACAAAATATATTCACGAATTCATGGGAACATTTTACAATTTTCTCGTAAATCATTACTAAAATGTGTATTTACTGTATATTGTAACATTCGCGTTTGACAGCTGAATATTAAAAGTTTTAGTTTGGTTACGATAATAACAGCCACGTGGTGGCGCTACTAGCGATGCTTCTTTAGCGTATATTCTATTTCTATGAGTATTAATATAAAGTCTTTCTATATAGAAAAATGTTAACTTACTTAAAAATGACACTTCTGTGTCTGTTTTTTATGATTTTTTGACTAAAGTTGTGAAAAAAACTACAAATTCGTTAAAAAAAATTGATGAAACAAAAAAATATAGTAAAAATCCCTTAACATACATTTTGAAGATACGTATAGATCGTGGACTGTTTCTGCTGTTGCTTCTGTTGCTGTTGAAGATTGGGTGCAGATCTAGACGGCATCATTTTCAGGGCCCTCCTGGACGAATCGTATGCCGTGTGTGCGGGTGGAACGCTTTCCTCGAAGCCATCGGCTCCACCATCTATGTTTTCTACTTCTCTAGTTATTCTGCAATACAACGAATAGCACAGGTAAGTGAACGCAATCATCAATGAAAGAAGATGGGAGAAATGTTTGACTTATTGATTTATTTTGCGATGGGGCAGGTAGAATTTTTGTACGCACTACTAAATTTTAAGGTGAAAATATCGGTTAATTTGGTTGTTTGTTTTGCTGTCAAATTTTGAGTAATTTACATGCATACAGTGATTATTATTTTTAGTTTTTGATAAATATGTAAATTATTTATTATGAATTTTTAAACATATATTCCAAAATTAAAAAAAGTATTTCCCTATTTTACATTTACAAAATTGTTTGGTGATATTACTGTATGATACTCTAGAAAATCCTGACATACTAATCCATTTTCCACCATGTAGAATTTATATTTGGATTATGTTGAAATCGAAAGTTATAAATTAATAAGTCATAAATTATTGTCATTAAGTTATTTCAAAGCACATTTAATCTCTATTCTGGAGATTAAAGGTTATCTTCTTAGGGAGCTATAGGTGATTTTGTACATAGGTAATCAGTATTATTTTGGTAGTTGGGATTAACCTCAAATTATCCATTCATGATATGATTAAGCTTGGTACCTATTTATTAAATACAAATTAAAATAATATAGTTTGCAACACGAGCCAAAGGTCCAGTGTGGGAAAAGGCCAATACATACGCTAAAGAAGTATCGGGTTTTCGCAACGCGCGCGCCATCTGGTGGGCTTCGATAGCATTGCGTGAATTTAAGAATTGTCAACAATACATTTAAAGCACAGATTATACATCATTTTTAAATAAATAGGTAGTTTTTCACAAAAGAGGGGAAGGCAAAAGTCTTACTCGACAAATTTTCTTTAATTGCACAGCTAAATCGCGCTCGATTTCGATTGATTAATCCTTATATCATTGATTAAGGAACTCAAATCTTTAATGCTGATATAGTTACGTTAATGTGTGTATTTTATCTAAGGGAATTATCGTTGCATTTTCATGTTTTGCCAAAGGATCCAATTCGGTGAGAAAATTTGTTGGTGCAGAATTAACTAATGATAACTTTACCTAATATAATTTATATTTAAGTTTGGACATTTTTAAGAAATTAGTAAAAAATAATTTTTGCACAAACATAACCTCAAAATTTACCTTTTTAATATTTAAGTTCTCTAAAAAACGCCGACAATTTTAAACAACAGAATATACTTACGAATTCATGGCAACATAATATTATAAATAATAGGTACATAATATAATGGTATTTTACCGTTGAGTGGAGACTTTCTTAATCAACGCTTTTAATAATGCTATTTAATTTTAGACGTCTTATTTGTTTGATTTGATTTCATATTTTTTATTTACTTAAAAAAATGTCCTATACCTACAAGGTTTTTTAGCGTTTTTTTATTATTAAATTAAAGGGCTTTAAGGATATTTCTTTGAAAAAACCCTTGCTAAAATGAATTCTTAAAAATGTAGACATAATAGGCCTTGCATTTTGTAAAAATATTGCGTTTTTTGCTTCAAAAATACAGTTTATCAAGATTACACTTTAAAACAAATCCTGTTAAAATCACACAATTTTACAGGGGTAAGTCGCAAACAAATGGGTAACACAGTAAGGGTATAAATTTGACAACAACGCTAAATAGTGCAAGATACCAAAGATTTTAAAATTCCGTGAATTTTTGGATATTGGCAACAACGTTAAATAGTACAAGATCACTTACTTACTTAGGTATTCTGATGATTTTAAAAAAATTGCAGGATTTTTTTTAGAAATTTAGGAACACCGCAAAAACAAAAATCCTAGATTCAGTAATTTTTTGAATATTTGACAACGTCGCAAAAATTCTTGATTCTGGAAATTTTTGAAATTTAAAAAAAAATACGTGAAAAGTATTAAAAAAATTAAAAACCAAAAAAAGCCAAGATACTCTTTCGCAAATATGGCAGAACGGATGTACGAGGTGTGTTCAGAAAATATCGGGAATTTTCGTTTTTTGAAACAAATATTTATTTATTCGTCTACATTAATGTTGTCGCCTTCAAAATAGTCCCCATTGGATATTATGCACATGTGCCAGCTCTTCTTCCAATACTCGAAACACTTCTAAAACTCGATCTTTGGGATAGCCTTTAGTTCTTTCAGCGATGCGCTTTTAATGTCATCTATGCTTGCAAAACGACGGCCCTTTAAGGTTCTCTTTATTTTTGGGAATAGGAAAAAGCCAGACAGAGGCATGTCTGGCGAATATTGTAAGGTGGAGACCCCTGCCTCATCGTTTAATGAAAAAGGGTAATACAAAAAAATAATAATAATATAAGGTTTAATTTAATTGGCCAAATAGCTGTAATCGTCTCGTTGTGAAATGTTTAACTAAAAACCTACATAGTAACTACAGTTCTTTTTCAAGGTATCATACTTACTTATTGTCAGGAATTGTCTAAATAAAACACTAGCATGCTCATTTTATGACTTATTTATTTATAAGATCAGAGGTGCCACTATTTCTCTGTGGTTTAAAAAAAAAACCGGTAAAACGTTGAGTAAAGATTAATTAATTTAATTTGTAATCTTGTCAATATTGTACACTTGTATGAACATATAAGTAATTTTAAATATTTCTTTGGTCCAGTACTTAAATAAATTATTTTACTACAACTCAATCAATGCTCGAAACAAGATCTAAATGTCTGCAATTCGCGTAGTTAAAATAAGGTTAGGATTATGGTCAATCCAAGGAGACCCTGATCCAAAACATAATAGTATTCAAAATCATTCCAATTATACCGTGTCGTATTCGCGTAGTTAAAGTAAGGTTAGGATTATGGTCAATCCAAGGAGACCCTGATCCAAAACATAATAGTATTCAAAATCATTCCAATTATACCGTGCCGTATTCGCGTAGTTAAAGTAAGGTTAGGATTATGGTCAATCCAAGGAGACCCTGATCCAAATCCCATTATTAGTCAAAATCATTACAATTATAACGTGCAGGTAGAGTGGGCAACCAAGAATATATATTGAGACCCTGAACCTCGTCGATAAAAATAACGACGGTGTTAACAACTTATTGTGTGTAAAGCCATTTAGGCAAGTTTGTAAACCATTTCGGTAATAATATTGTTGTATTTACCCTTTAGGTAATATACTTTTAATTGTGACACATTTATTATTGTGCCATTTAGGCGACATATTTGTTATTGTGCCATTTAGGCGATATATTTGTTATTGTGCCATTTAGGCGACATATTTATTATTATGCCATTTAGGCGATATATTTGTTTGTTGTGCCATTTAGGCGATATATTTGTTATTGTGCCATTTAGGCGACATATTTATTTGTTGTAACTTTTTATATTTAATCTTCAAGGAGCATGGTCAAATCATATACATAAATCAAGGGACCTTAAACCCTAATAATAAATAGTGTTATTTTTCACTTGTCTCGATAAGTCAATTGAAAACACAGATATTAATCAAACTGTAAAACTGGACCAATCACAATAATAATACTAAATATAAAATTGATACAAATTTAGTTTAAGAGTGTGTAATTTAATAATTTTATAATAACGTTTTAAATTATGTATTCTAATAATTTGTAATATTTGTAAACGTATGTTTATTATAGTATTTAAAATATAAATCAAATGTTAATTCAATGTTTTTCTAAATATTAAATAATTGAGAAAAATAGGCATTTGTTTGAGGTACGTGACTACAAGCATTGCGTAATGGCAGCCGTTGTAGAAATTAAAACATGTAAATCAATCATTTACAACAAAATATGTATTATAAATAATATCAGACTAACCTGTATATTCTTCTAATATGAAAGAACCACAATGTACGAAGATTGCCATATTCTTTTAGAAGTTTTTCTGTTTATTAATATTCGCCTCCAGTGTGTAGTCACCAACAGCCAACACCCTAATAATCCAATCGAAAAACCTTTTTCGAGTTTCCTTCCCACCATCATCAAATAATGGACTCGTCCAAACACCGTAGAAACTTCTTTATGCATGCGCATCGTAGAAGTTTCTGTCAATTCTTTTTAAGGATTAACAGCACTACTTCAAATATTAATTAAATAAGTAACCTATTTACGATAACTAGATAATTGACAATAATCTTTTAAACCCAATTATTACATTTTTATAAAAATAAAAATGATTATAAAACCAAAAATACACAGCTGTACGAACAGTTGCCTATAACCAAAAGCATAAATTTGTAATTAAATAATAATATTCAATTAGGGATATTTTAATATTACAGTAATATAAGTAAGACAAGTACAGAATTCGTCAAGACTAGTGACATTTTTCAGAGAATACTAAGGGTGGGTCACCACCCTACAATATGGAGGCTGGGGCATCATTACAGTATTGTTTTTGGCCAAAAATTTTGTTCAAAATTTAACAATTTTAGAACAAATTTTGCTGCCACGCTTTTCATACCCAAAACATTCGAAAAAATTTCATGGGATTAGCCAATCGATATACCAACATCATCAGCGACTTCTCTGATGGTTTATAACCATTTCTTCCACTGTTTCCATGTTTTTATCGGTTGTTAATGTGCTTGTGCGTTCGGGACGTTCGTCATCTTCAACGTCTTCACGGCCATCTTGGAAACTTTCTGAACACACCTCGTATTTATATTTGTCAGCATTTTTATTGATTTTTCAGGTAATAATGACAAAGGGCTTACCTAAATCCACAATATTTGAAAGTAAAGTAATAGAAGTGAAGAATTCACACATACTTTTTTAGACAAATTTAAACCTTCCTACAAACTTATTACATCCATTAAACATTTAACAATATATTGCCTAATAGCTTCATTAGAAGTACTTCTTTTGAAACTTTGATAAATTCCTAATAATCTCATTATAGAACCGTTTAAGACCGCTTAATTTCAAAACGCGATCTTTGTGAACCATTTTCCACCTATTAAAACACAAAAAACGCTTTTTAAATTTTAATAACGTTACGTCAGC